CCGGTGCTGAAGACAGGACGCTCATGGACACGGGCGTCCTTGGACACACAGACTCCTGCCTGTTAAAGAGAAGATGAGGGATGAGTGATTATCAAGCAAAACTCATTGCACCCCTTTTTATTTTATTGGTTTGTTGTTTGACATTTTGTTTTATTTTTTCTCCAGACTGCCTAGTGTATACAACACTTTCTAGGCTGTTTACATGCAGTGTGAAAGTCGACTTTATACTTCTACTATAAAATACACGAAGACCAAGTTTACTACCATGGACTTAAATAAAGTTATTTAAAATTCACATTTCATTTCATTCTTTCTTTTTATCCATGTTCAAATGGAAATACAAACACGTAGATTGTGTAATGAACCCTTGCTGAAGATGTCCCCACTTTGGAAGCATGTTTTAAGTCAGTGGAAAGGACAGAATCAGTGGTATAGAAACTATAGATAGTCACTGTCTTCATGTGACTTAAAGCAGCGAAAACAAAGTAATCCTCGTAAAATATGATCTTTGTATCTTTCTGGACTGTATGAAATGTGTACAGCACTGTGACAGCACTTCAACTTTGAGCTGCGTATTCTGCAGTGCTTTCTTCCAACAACAGGGGGAGACATTCAATGTGAAATCGAAAAGCAGACGGCCACAGCACATTGACACAACAGTGTATAGAAGTGATGCGCCAGGTTCAGTCTTGTTCAGTTAAGTCTTATTCATCTCTTACACACTAAATCAGTCACTGACTTTCAGCCCTGAAAAGTGAAAGTAAAACGGATACATTTCACTTAAGGTCAAATAGGTTGAACAAAATGACTGGCAAGAAGGAAGGCGAAAAAAAGAAAAGAAAAGAAAAGTAGCAGAATTTCAAACAAACCACATCAGTGTGCGCACACACTCATCTGTGCTCAGTATGACTGAAAGCGGACACTGCATCTCTCCTGTGTGGTGCAGCTTTTCTCTGTATGGTGGAGGATGTGGTAACCTTACTAGCATGCCTCTGTATGTTGCCATACCGTAACTTTGAGTGTGCATGTGTGTGCATTTTTGCGTGTGTGTGTGTGTGTGTGTGTGTGCATTCACAAAAGCTTCTCGCTGTGCAGCGTGTGCATAATGCAAAGGCTGTGGTTATATGTGGAGCACAAAAACTGTTCTGCACTGTTTTCTGCGAAAGCAAGCGCTCAGGAGGAAGCAAGGGGAGAGGGATGTGGCACAGGTGAGAGAGTACAGTGGTTCCTGTGGTGTCTGTCTTGCTCTTTCTTTCTCTCTGCTGTGAATGGAGCACCTGGGTGATTTGTGTGTTAACAGTCAACACACACATGCAGATACAGCGACCCTAGCCAAGGTCAAAGATGGTAAAACCAGGCTACTTGAATCATATACTATATGTCACATATTGACGTATTTGGAGCACAGAAGCTTTTTTTTTTTTTCCAGGTAATCTTTTAAGAATCCCCTTTATATTTTTCATTGGTTACTCCTTAACATGAAATAGTTAAATGCTTGTGGGACAGGTTGACTATGTCTTTAACTACAGAGAGATGTTCTCCTATTTCTAAACACTCAAAATGAATAATGAATTATGTAAAGGGTCTGAAGAGGTAAAAAACTAAACATTAGTTTATGGTAAGTCACCTGTCCCCATAATACTGACCCGACCCTTTGAAATATGTTATGACCACAAGGCTGACAGTGATTGTTTAGAGGGATAAGGAGGATCTAGTCAAGTATGCAGTCCTCACATCCCCATATTAATGTTGATGAAGTTCCTGGAGGCTTGACTCATTCTCATTCCTCCTCTCTATTCAGGCCACTGCTGTGATTACTCTGTAAGACCTGGAGAACAAAATCTGCTGTCATTACTCCAGCAAAAATGTTTTGTTTTTTTTCTTCTGCTATTCAGTGAAATATATCTTGAAGCCTCACAAATCAGCTTTTAAATAATTATCGGCTAACCTAAATTTACATATAAACAAAATCAAAATTTCAGTTTTACTTCTCATAGATATTTGAGACATAATTGTACCTATCAAACTTGGGTCTACTCATTTAACGACCACTGTCAAATATTTAAAAGAGGACACCTTCACACCAGCACATCTAGTCTAGTGGAGCAAGATGTGGTTTCCTGTAAGGATTGCTTTCTCCTGTCTCAAACTGACAGATTCAAAGAATGGATTGTGTAATTTACTCAAATCAATATGGGATTACAAAACGTTTAAATTACATCCCCTCCTTTTAGATTTATTTATTTTTTTAAAGCCAGAACCAATTTAACTTGAGGAAAAAAAGCATGTTCGGTGTAATCCCACTTAGCAAAGTTGCTCAGAAGACCTTTTTTTCTGCTGCTCATCCGTTTCTCACTCGTACAGCTACAGGTTGAAGACAGAACTTGTGGTGTTTGGTGGGGTTTTTTTTCTTCTTAATTTTTACAAAACAAGACATACTGTGACATATGACTTTTCTCTAGAGTGTTTGATTGACTTTTTTTTATTATTATTATTGTTGAATAATATATTATTGATCCAGAAGTTCAAGGACATAAACTCTTTGCTGCAGGAGCACCTCCTTCTCTTATCTGCCTACAGAATGTGAGCGCTTAAGAAAGAAGAGTAAGTACTGACAGGTTAAAAGGTAAACGGGGAGCCTTATGTGAGCATTATGTAGGTGAGTGGGCAGCACAACAACAAAGTGCTGTTCTTTAACACTGCTGAATGTAAAACCTCAAAGGCCCCTGTTATGTTTAAGTGTTCATTTTTAACCATGCAACTTTTACGAAAGGCCAAGTTGAAGTAATTACCTTCTCTTTGTATCATTTTAAAGGACTAAAAAACGTCAGTGAGTACATTTTCCTCACAAGGTTGATTTTAAAGTAAAGCGTGGAGCAGGTATGAAATGTACAGAGCTGCAGCATCTTCAAAGAGTCCGAGCTGAAAGGAGGGCATATCGACACCTACACACCTTTCTGTCGATAAATCAATAAATCGATTCTCCCTCAGAGCATGAATAATGAGACAAGGACATCATTTCATGTAAAGTGTCTCAAATTAAATGTGCATTTAACGCACTGAATGGTCGATTAAATCTAAACCTAAACATGGTTGAATTTTTTTTACACATTTTTGGTTTCTCAAACATTTTCAATTTGCAAAAAAACAACAAAGCAAAACAACTCACTATAATAAGGAAAACTGCGACTTTTTCCAAATACTCACTTTCTTAAAAGTTACATTAGAAGAGAAGATATCTTACCTGCTCGTTAAATGAGGCTAAAGCTAGCAGCTGGTCAGGCTAGTTGTTGATGAGAGAGAGATTAGACGTGTGTTCATTTTAAACCATCTTAATCCCCCCAGAAACGAATTTACTTACTATATACTCTATAACTAGTTTGTTTTTTACCCATACTGTACGGGTAAAGTCACCGTTTGTTGCGGGTAGATGGTTTTGACCGTCTGTCTCGTTGGATTCACTAAACTTGCTGCTGGATTGAATTTTTGTAAAGGCCTAAAACTATTTTGATTATAGGCTATGTTAATTATTTATGCTGAAAGGTTTTCTATTTTTTAAGTAACTCCCAATGTTGTATCATTTACGGAACCCCTGAAGTCCTAAAAAGTAAAAAAAAAAAAAAAAAAAAGGTAAACAATTAAAATAATCTTGTGCACACAAGATTTTGTGATGCTACTTTTGGGGACTTTAAGGGCTCTATAAACTTTAAAAAATGATTTAAAAATCTTTATCAGTCTTTTAAAAAGTTGGAAGTGCCCTAAGACTTGAATTAATTACTTGAGATTTACATGGATTAAAACCTGAATTCTTTATTTTAATTTAATGGGATTTACTTTATATTCATTTATTTTATTTGGATGTATTTTGAAGTTATTAAATATGTTTATATTGGGTTTTTTTTCTGTTATAGTTTATTTTGATGTCTTAATAGCTTTGCTCATTTTGTTTATGTTCATCTGTTAAAATGCCTGTTTAATAAAGGACCAATCTGTAAGATATCTATTGACTTAAATCATAAAATGACCTTACCTTATCACCACACACACAGAAAACATGCTTTGTTGAAGTGCTGGCTTCCCTGACAACAATGCAGCAGTCAGTATGTCCTCCTCCTGAGTTTCAATTCTGGTGCGGAATGGTCTGTTTTTGTTTTGACCAAAGAAGGGAGGTGATGGTTGTAAGGAATCCCCACACAGCTGTTTTGGTCGCCCTTCGGTTTGCTAAGCAAACGGCAAAACAAACAGGTGTTGCAGCGATGGAAGCAGGCAATCAAACTGGTCCATATATAACTGAATCTACCCGACATAATAAGCCTCTGCCATTTTCTAATAAGCTCAACAGACCATGCAGTAACGTGATCAAACTTTGATAAATATTGGAGGTGCTTTTGAAAAATGGAGAGGGGTTAGAATGCAGAAAAGTTTCAAGACAGATGCATAGCTGGCTAAACACTGAAGCTTCAGTGCGACATGGCAACCTGTGTGCACATTGACTTTAGGGAGGCCGGGCGGGAGGAGACAGTGCTGTCCAATATTTTTAATTTGGACTGCAGTACCATTTTAAACGCTAGGTGACATAGTTACATATTACTCCTTTAATTAAAAATGCTGGAAGAAAGATAAAATGTAAAAACTTGCAGCTAGCTAACGATATAATTTGACAGAAAAGAAATCACCATAAAACTGAATTAACATTTTAAAAATATAAAGTGTAATATCTGTGTAAAAGTCACTGCCAAAAAGCTTACAGCTTTTTATTCTTTAAGAAAATAAGACCTAGTCTTTCGGACAAATTGCTTGAAAAAAAAGCCAAATGACATATTTATTGTCATTTTGAAGTGGCCTCAGAAATACCTAAAGCTTTATATTTGTGTTGGCGTCTTGATGAGACAAAAAGAAAGGAGCTAATCTCTGTTTACAAAAAAACTGAACTGTTTATTATGCGTCACTAATAAATATGGATGATTGAGAGAATAGCAGACATAAACAACACATTGATATTCATATTGGGTTTTAACCAGTTTTAATTAACCCTGATTACAGCTTAATTACAAGTTTGGGAAAAAAACACTAAAGAAGTGGAGAAATTCAATGTTACATCATGGTATTAACTCTCATCTCTCCATCTGAGTGTTATGTAACTGCTCGGGGGAGACAAGGCAAAAGAAGAGACTGAAAGAGGGGGAAGATAGACCTTTACAGAGTCGAACAATACACATCTTTTTTCTTCTTTTGAAATATAACCCCCCCCCCCAAGAAAAAAAAACAAGAAAAAATTTACAAGAGCAAGAGAGAGATAATAGTAACATTATAAAACAAAAATTACAATACATGACAAAAAGATAAAATCACTCCTCCCTCTCCCTCTAAATAAAATCCTTTGCCACTGCCCTTCTTCTCTCTGCCCTGGGTGTTTTTTTCTGTCAGCATCAAAATTAATATTACACATTTGAGTTATTTTACATTTGTAAAAACTAAATATAAGTAAAACATCTCTGGTTTATGGGGCTTCAAGGTTTGAAAGAGAGAAAGGATGTACACAACATAAAAAGCAACCGCTAACAGAGCCATGGAATAATAATAATGCCAGATGGAAAGGTACATAACCCAATGGGAACAATAATAACACCAACAATAATCAATATCAACATCAGAAAAATAAACTGAGAAACCTTTCTTCTTCTGATAGAGAAATGTAACTGTGCTGTTTATCTACCACTCAGTGACTGTAGAGGCCAGGAACAGGACGAGAGATAGCCTGTGTTACAATCAAGAGTCCAGTCAATCTTTTTACCCTGCAATATCATGACTGAGTCAGACTGCCCCTCAGTTAGCGGGACGTCAGACAAATGCCTGAAACAGAGTGAGGAAAAAAGGAAATGGAAAGAGGAGAGAGAAAGAGTGCAGAGCAGGTAAGACAGATTCCTCATCTGTTACTGAGATATGACAAGTAGTAATAAGGCAGCTATCAGTTCAGGTACAGACTCAGGACTGGGTGTGTGTGTGTGTGTGTGTGTGTGTGTGTGTGTGTGTGTGTGTGTGTGTGTGTGTGTGTGTGTGTGTCTGTCTGTGTGTGTGTGTGTGTGTGTCTGTCTGTGTGTGTCTGTGTGTGTGTGTGTGTGTGTGTGTTGTGACATGCTCCAGTCCAGCCCACAGGGGTCTGATGAGGAAATTCAATCAGCTCAGCCACACAGACTGCCTGGAGGCTGTCGATCTCACAGGTCGCTGCAATAGATCTGACTTGTCGCTGGCCAGGAGGGGACAGGCTGCTGTTTAACACAGCTCGCCTTGGTGTCCAATCAGAGCCCTCGACGACCTGGCCTCCAGGATGTTAGACATAATCATTTGTGTATGTGTAAATGTGCATAGTTGTAGGAGAGGGGCCTTTAAGGACAGGGTCTCACATGTTCCAGGCTATCATACAGTAATGATTAACCCCTTTACCCCCTCCCCCTTGCTGCAGTGAACTTTGGAGCATTATGCTAAGTGGAATAAAAAAAAAAAGACAGGATTACTACTTAACTAATAACCCATTGGCTAACACTAAGCACACACACAGAGAGCCTGGAGAGATGGCCTAGGGCCAGGAGAGCACAAGCCTGGGAGAACCCTATAAGCTAGACTGTGTAGACAGGAAGAAGAAGAGTGCTGCGTGCTGAAAATACAGTGAACAGCAGAGTGAGTCATTGTCAGTATCTTGAACTCCTATGCTGGTCTTGTGGCTTGTTTCTTCTATGAAACAAATTTACAAGACAAACCTGGACCTCCACCCCTCTTTATCTTGTCCACCCACCCTCCATGTAACCGTATATCACTAAACAAGTTTCTTATCACTTCAAAAAAAAAAAAAAAAAAAAAATCCACTTACAAAATCATTCTTACCATTAAAATGCTATGGCTGTCTTTAAAATGTAACTCATTTAATTATAATATTTAGAATATATAAAGATATAGTCTGTTTGTGTGTTATTAGAGCTCAGTTTGCACTTTTATACATCCTATAAAAACAAGGCATAGATAGGCTGTGTGTGAGTGTAAGTGTGTGTGAGGTCTAAGGTGTTCCCTGCTCTCTCAGACTCTCACAGGCCTGGCAGCGTTAAACACTGTCAGAGTCTGAGGATGATGCCACTTCAGGGAGAGCTGGAGGTCCGGACAGTGTGTGTGTGTGTGTGTATTTGGGAGCAAAAGGCAGTGTTGTGTCTGTATGTGTGTTTGCTGGTTTAGTTTAACATTACGATTGTTAGAGGAGCTTTAGCTGGTGATCTGGTATTCTGTGCTGCTTGGCCTGCAGATTTGTTTTTAAATATACAAGCCATGTTAGATGAGGTGATTAGGCTGGTTAACAGTTACATGAACGCCTCAGAATCCATCCTGCTGCCTTCCCCCACTGTTGGTCCCATATGCTGTCCTTTTTTCTACAATGGTCTCCTCGTCATGCTTCAACTAGTATCTTCCTGGGGTTACAACTATTTCTTAAATCGAGTCATGTTTCCACAGGTGGTTCGCAAGAGAAAAAGTAACAGGACAGGAGAGAGACAGGAAAAGGTTATACAAAAGTCAAAAGCTCTAAGAGAACAGTGTGCGAGAGTCAAAGTCAGTGTATTTGTGAATGTGTGTGTGTACTTCTGTGATTTCCATTGTGGGTCTTCTTCACTGTTGGCTGTGTTTTTGCCTGTGTGTTTGTGTGCATGATTCCAATAAACATACAGCAATAGACTTCCCTGAGTGGAGTGGGCCAGGTTTAAAACAGCCCCACTCTTCAGTCTTTGAGACACACTTGTTTTTGTCAGTATCTTTTTGAACTTTACAAGCATTTCATGACTTAAAGAATGATTTATCATTGCACTCTTCTTTATCCTTTGTTATCTTTCCTGTACATCCAGGGTTGTGGGTTTTAGATACAGGCACTTATCGAAGTCCCACCAGCTTTCAGGAAAAAAAACATAGGGGAGAGTGTAAGCAACATCATCCTAGGTTGGTTTCTGGGTTTTAAGGGAAGTGTGTGTCTCCTCAGGAAAGTGCTGCTGATTTGACGGATGGGGTCTGAATGAGGGAGCTGTGCTACCGGTGCAGGGCATGGGGAGCTTCACTGGCCAGGTGGGAGGTGAACTTGGAGTCAAGTTTCATAAGGGGAGCCTCCCTCTGATTTCACCCCCATCACAGTCACTGTTGGCTGGCATGGCTTAGTCTGAGTGAGTCCCACCTCCCAAAAAAGATGTGTCCCAGAAGAACCCTGATCCAGACAGAGGTCTGGTGAAAGATTTGACAAAACAAGAGTCAGGCTTTCTTTGAGGTGAAGGTTTAGTATGTGTGTATGTTGGACTGAGCTCTCAGTTCACTGGAGGTTTCAGGAATCTAGTTTGCAAGTGTGGAAGAGGGATTACAGAGAGACCATTTACACACCCCTGTTCCACCTCCAGTACTACTGGAGCAGTAGTGTTTGTGTCTCACATCAGCAGTCTTTGTTTTCCAGAGACAGCTGTGCAGTGGCACGATGCAGCTCAGCACTCACTCTCCGCTGTGAAGACAACGGTGTGGTTAAAGAGCCCTCGTACGTCAACGGTGGAGGACTGTCTCCATCCCCGCTGCCTGTCCCATCTTCATCCATCTCCATCCGTCCATTACTTTGCCTCTCCTTTTCCCTCTCCTCCTGGGGTCGTACTTTCTTGTCGTCCGACTCCTCCTGTGAGGCCTCCATGCGCTGGTCTTCACTCCAGCGCCTCTTGAATCGCAACTTTAGGGGGATGCATTTTGTCTGGGAAGCTCCAGCCGACCCTGTCTGAGGGGGAGGTGTGTGACCATCCCCTGGTTCAATGGGTTCACTCTTGAGGGTGGGCAACCCGCGATGCAAAGTGGAGTGTGTGTGATGTGAGGTGAAGAAGGGCATCAGGCTAGGCGGAGGCGGAGCAGGGGCTTTGAACACGTCCTCATCAAGGTCCTCATCAGGATGGGGATGGTGTTTGGGCATTGCTGTGCCGTTAGTATGGTGATGGTGGTGGTGGTGGTGGTGGTGGTGGTTGAGGGGTCTGGGGTGGCGAGGGGAAAAGAGCTCAAAATCCTCATCTCGCTCATCTGGGTCCTCATCACTAATGTCGGTCACCTCCACCTCTTCCTCTGACTCGATATCAGAGATGGGCTCCACCTGGTAAATAAGATAAATAGGAAACAGAGGCGAAGATAAACACAACATGAAAGGGTGAAGTTGTAGAAGCCGCTGATAATTTCTAATACAACATTTCAGTCCAGTAAGGTTTTATTAGTATTCACCTGAAGCATTAATTAAAACAAAATGTTATCTTTTGGATAACGTCTGACAACAGCATGTTATTAATACTGAGGAAGAAATACATGTGTCCTTTTTAAGACTTTGTGGTCACATATCTTATTTTGAGATTAATGCATGGATCACGGAGGGAGAAGTTCATGTCCATGTAACTCACCTTTATCTTGGGAAGTCCTGCACTGTTTAGGGACTGTGTCGAGGAGGAGGCAGAAATCAGGCCTGAGCCACTGGCTGAGCTTAGGTCGCTGCCAAACGACAGCGAGGAGCCGAGGCCAGATGTAGATGACATGGACCCAGATCCTGAGCCTGAGGACATGGAGCTCTGCCTGGGTTTACTCTGACTATCTCTCTGCTTCCTGCCCAGCGGTGGTGGCTGCAGCTTGAACTTGAAGGGAGACATGTGTGGAGGTTCCTCACCCAGGTGGAGCGAGTGGTGCATGGAGTGAGAATGGGGGTGAGGATGGGCGGAATGAGGCGGATGCGGATGCGGATGCGGATGCGAATGCGAATGCGGATGGTGGTGGGCGGAGTGAGCCAGGGATGGATGATGGTGCCGCTCTCCTACCCCGGCAGCTACTCGTTCTGCTCTCTCTCCTCTCTCTCCGGTCAGGGTTTTTTCTGCAGATGGCCGGTGGGGCTGAGGGATGACGATGTTGGGGTACTGGAGGAAGGCTCTGGGGCTCAAGCCGTAGTTGTACACGGACTGGGTGTGAGCCTGCAGGTAGCGTTTCATGTCCTCAGCGTTGAAGGAGAAGTGAGAGCCTAACATTGGTGACAGTGTGGGTGAGGGGGTGTAGGGGAGGTGAGATGTTGGGGTCATGGAGAGCGCTGGAGACAGAGGAGGTGCTAGCAGACCGGCTCCTCCTGGTCCTGGTAAAGGAGACACAGGGAAGGGGGACAGGGGCTCTTGGTGGATCCGGTGCCCAGCAGGGCCACGGGAGCCTGGGTGTCCAGCGGGGTTGCCTGGTCCTCCGTACATGCGAAACAGGGCTTCATGAGAAAGACGTGGATGAATGATGCTTCTGTAACCAACACCACCATGTCCTCCTCCACTCACACCCCTCTCTCCCCTCTCTTCTCCCGCTCCCGTGTTGCCATCCTCAATCTCAGAATTGACAGAGGTGCCATCGCTGCAGTCGCTAACGGAGCCACGGGCCATACGTCGGGCCACAGAGCTGAACATGCCACCAGGGCTGCGTAGGTCTTCATTCGGGGAGAGGACTTCAGATGGTGTGGAGGGAGGGAAACGGAAGTGAGTCCCTGCACCAGTGGGGACAGGAGGAGCGCTCTGTGGGACGCTGCTTCCTGGAGAGTGGAGACAACAGGGGAGGGAGCATGGAAGGGGAAAAAAAAAAGAAGAAAAGAATACTGAGAAATGATATATTAGGTTCTCCTGTGTAATCCTATGTAATCATGTAATCATGCTATCCTATTGAGGGATTAAGATATATTTAAACATGCACACACACACACAGTGTCAGACTGTCCAGACTTACCAGTGGAGCCCATGTCAATGAAGGGGTAGTTGACCAAAACCAGTTTATTGAAGTTGAACTTGTATGTGAACCTCTTGCCTTTGGTCTTATGGAGTATCCTCTTGTTGTAGTAGTATCTGGTTAAGAAAATAGAGACATGAATTAAGAAAATATTTTGTGCTTCCACATGCCCATTGCATGTAAAGGTAAATATAAAGACATATCTCAGTGTTAAATAACTGACTGCGTAATATCTTATGCAACCGTTTTGATACCGCCAGAAATACATTTTCTCCATTTGTCACAAAAGTACATCTCGTTTTAAAATATTATTTTTCCTTAAGTTATTGAGTCAGACAGATGCGCCTGCACACTCAAGCGCACACTTTAATAAGCATGAGCCTTTCATGTTGCCTCCCCCTTCTAATGATAGATATTACAGAGTGTTGTATGACATTTTGCAAAAAGCAGACGGTAAAGGGAGAGGGGGGCAGGAGGAAGAGCGGGGGAAAAGGGGATGAAAAGAGAGAAAGCAGATAGATGATGGGAAGCTGTGGATGGACTGAGCAGTGATGTGGCGTGGCGTGGAGGGATAAACAAACAATTGAAGGATCAGGGGCCAAATTCATAAAGCTCCCTAGTACAAAGAATTGCTCCTTGTAACATATTCTGAGAGAATCGTAGGAAAATTCTTCGAATCATGTTTTATAAGAATTTCCCTTGGAGTAAAGACCAGATCATGGTGAAGATACAAGTTATTCACAAAAGCATCATATCCCTTAAGAAAGTTCCTAAAGTCAAAACTGTTAGTTAGGGGGACTTTTAAGAGACTTAAGAGTTTCTCAAGTGTCTGTTGGAAAGACAGAGAGATAGGAGAAATGTTCTCACAACACTGAATGATATCAAAAAGATGAGAAGTGTAGAGAACACCAGAAGAGCGTTAAGTTGTCCATGTATGCATGTTCGACATACAACCAGTTTGCCGCTTGCTAACTTGTGTGTGAGCAGTAGCATGCACATTTTAATATTTTTGTGTGTGTGTCTGTGTGTGTGTGTGTGTGTGTGAGTGACTTCGATTGCGTGGTACCTTCACTAATCCGTGTGTGTAAAACACAGACAGAAATCAGAAAAAAATATGTCTTTTAAGGTATTATGAGTTCAGATTTGGCTGACAAGCATCACACACATGCTGTAATTCATTTTGCTAGATGGACCCATCTCTTTATGTAACTCTAAAGCAAAGCCACCAATAATTCACCCCATCTTTATCTGTTTATGTAATGGCCATTCTCTATGTTTTTTTCAAGCTTACTCTCTCCCATGCCTCCTGCCTACAGTACAAGGCTCCATTTTTATTAACCTTTGTCCAGCTACAGCTCTTTATGTAACATCTCTCTGCTTTCTTCCCCAGATTCACATCCACTTTATGTAACCTCTAGATCCCTGGCTGCCAGGCCTCACACACGGAGGGAGACAGAGCGAAGGAAATAGAAAGAGATAAAGAGCTAGAAAGGAATAAAGATGTTGTGTTTTGTCTGTCAGGGAGATAACAAGCTCACAGAAACTACCACCTAAAAGTTGAACACTACCTCTGGCTTTTTAACAACAGAATAAACCAGACTGCACATTTGCACATCATGTCTGCATGCCTACCTGCTTTTATAGCACAAGACTCTGATTTCCTTTCCTTCAGCATGAGTCTGCTGGCACAAGTTAAGTGTGCTGACAAAGACAGGGGCTTCAGGGTATGTACACTAGGTAATGCTGAGATAATCAGAGCCCATTGACTATCATTACGCTGAATGGTAGTTATCCAGAGTGTGTGTATGTGTCTGTCTGTTTGGTGGTAGGGAGGTGTCACCCTTCACCCTCTCTTATTATGCTTATTACGCAGACTGGTTGGGCCATTTTTTTTTTTTGCTCCAGGAACAGACTGTTGCTCTTTTCCTCTTGTTCTCTTCAACCCTCCTCCTCTTCTCCCTTTATCCTACTGATACCTCCCTCTCTCTCATCAATCCTCCTCCCCCTCTTTATGCCAGCCCTCTCCCTGCGCTCTCCACTCATCCCCTGAGGCGATGAGAAAGGGTGAGAGAGAGAGAGAGAGAGAGAGGGAGAGACAGGACAGGCCTGCACTGTTGAAAACATTGTTTACACCAGGCACAAAGCAGCATGTAATTTCTGCTCTAGGGGAGACACTCGCAAGGGCTGGGAAGGAGGGGAGAGAGGCAGTCAGGAGCAAGAGGACAGACAGAGACGGGCAGGAAGTCATCCAGAATTAAAATCACAACAGGACTGTGATTGAATTAGCTGATGATTTAAAAAAGGCAACATGCTGTGTGTGTGCTTTGGTTCAACATACAGTAACAAAAACAATTGGTCAAAAACCAAAGCTAAAAATCAGAATATCAATCCCTAAATTGGGCAACAATTAATGGTACAATAAACACCACACTAACTTAAATACAATAATACATGCTTGTGATTTCTTAGGTAAAAATAAGAACCCAGCACACTGTATAGTGAAGGAAGAAATACATCTTGCATCTCTACCACTTTCTTTCCTGTCATTACTGACTACCATGCTAGTTACCCAAAAGCGTAAATAAGCAACCAGTAACACCTTCAACAATTTATAGAACTTATTGAAAAGCAGTTATCCAAAGTCACCACATTGATGTTAGTCTTTCTATAGGTCACTGGAGGGTCTCCAAGCTTTTTAAGCTTTAGTGTTTTCTTTGGGTCATTTGTTAGTCAGAAACATATCTCACGTAAGTGTGCCAAACTAAGCATTAGACAGTAATAAATAGCATGTGTTAAAATTCATTCTGAATAAATAAGCTGGACTCTTCTGTAAAGCAGTTTTTTAACCTGAAAATCATGACCTTCATGCTTTGTTCATTGTACTACACATCATTTGATTATGTGAACCTAAAATACTGGGAACTGAGTGAATACTTGTAATAATGATGGACACATCCCAAAGGCTAATAATACCACCGTGCTCACACATCTGTGTGACTGGCTCATGGCAGTCTGTTAGGGGAGTGTGGCCAACTAAAGTTGTGTGCGCTTGGCTGCACTCACACATGCAGCTAATACAAGAATCCTGAAATGTAATTTTGGAAGCAGACGACAACTTAACTTAACCTTAACAGCAGCAACTGAAGCTGCGTTTAGAGCAGAGCACATGGTCACCCACTCACTCTCTATGCCCCCTCCTCCTGCACCGTCATACAGGCAGACAGTCTTTGAAGAGCATTTGAACTCACTTCAAAAGAGAAGAAAGAGATTCTTTGAGTGCCTGTGTTTAGCTGCCCACCGCACTCGCCTTACACACAAGTACGCACATACACACATCTATCCGATACCCTTACTCTGTTGCTGCCATCTCATTTAGACGTAATCAAACACATGGGCGCATGTGTGCCCCCATACACCCCCAGAGCGTATCATCCAGGAGCTGTGGCTTTATCCCACTCCCTGTTTAACCAAAAGAGTAGATTGAACAATCAATGCGAGTATGGATTTAGGCAAAGCCTTCAGGGAAACAGAGCTAAGGCTTTCTATCAACTCCGATGTTTCTGTGTGTGATTCTAGGCCAGGGATTAAGGCTGTGATTACACAGACCTGCTGTGGTCGAAAACATTATGATCAAAGAAGACACACACACTGGACTGCAGGAACTCAGATGCAACAAATTAACTAAGACCTTCTAAAGCAGTATTTTAGCCAGGGTTGCATTTATAGAGAGACAGCACAGTGCTATTATTAGTTATTGTGATTTTTTATAAACAGAAACTGTATTAGAACTACAACACTAAGCAATGCATATAAAGATATTACTATATGTGCAGCAGCAGCCTTCTGTTTTATTATCTATAACAATCATTCTGAGGTTGTTTCATTTTTTAAACTCGTATATGCCGCCTCGTAGTTTATGTCATACAGAATAAGGCATTAAAGGTGCTTTTAAACGACTTATAAAAGTCAATATTCAACAAGTTGCTGTAAATTTAAGAACATTAATATGACGTGTTTGTTTGCAATAATACAAAATTAAATATTATCAATTTAGGAAAGGAAAGACTCCTGTTAATATAAACTTTAAAAAGTTCCTTGTCCCTTGGTTCTATTGGATTACATTGTACTCACTGGATAATTGCTCCAAGACTTAAAACATGGCAACGTTGGTCAAAAAAAAAAAAAAAAAGGGCAAAAAAGATTCAGAGATCAGATTGTCATTTAGCTTTTCAATAAGTTTCGGAACCTTCGGGTTTGTTTACAACCTTTACAACTATACGAGTACTCATGTTAAACTATTTTTGCAAAGGGACCATGAAAGCATTGTATCAGAGTACGCAAACTACGCATAGAGCTAATTTACACCTGCAGCCCCTTTGCACGTCAATAAAAAAAGGGGGAGAAGGTTTCTGAAAATGTATTGTTTCTGGACTTAATGTGTTCTATCTGTGTTCCAGTTCAGATAGTGAAGTTGGAAAAAAGACCTGCCTGCTATTGACAGCACTTTGTATTACCCTATAATATGATATGTGTATTAGCTCACCAATCTATTTCAGTATCACTTCATTCACACACACTGAAAACAAAGTGAACCAACCCCAGTGTGCGTGCGTGTGTGTGTGTGTGTGTGCAGACTGGCTGTGCCTTTTCCCATTGTTGGTCTGTAAATAGGCGCTGACTGTGACAGGAAGTTGGGATTACAATACTCCCCATGAGCCCCGTGTTTATTTTCTGCCTCTTTCGTCAGCATTGGCTATTCCACACACATCACAGCCAGATCCTTCTCTGCATACATGCACACACACACACACCAGCTGCTCACACTCAGGTGTGTGTTAGAGTTGCACGTGTGAGTGCTTTGTTCTGGGCCTGGTTTTGATGAGTGTTTACTGTCTCGAAAAAAGAACATAAAATGTGTTTGTGCAGGGATGTGGGCAGGGATTGGGGTATGATAAGGAAAGGCGTCACATGCTTAGTGTTAGTATATGTCCTTCACCCACACACTGTGTATGTGTGTTTGTGTGTAAAGAAGAGGATCTGGTCAGGGTACGATTAGGCTGGTCACATGCTACGTGGGTGTGAATATGTACTCGAGCATACTCTGGTGTGTGTGTATGCCGCCCTCGTACAAAATAAAGGCCTCATTCATTGGGGGACAATGACGTACAAACAACAACATGTACCCTGGACACATACATGCTGCTGATAGAGACAATGAGAAGACAATGCACACTGATGTATGTACGTCCATACAGTGGTACTGTCCCTGGGTGCTCCCTCTGCACTTTTTCCCTGGGTGTTTACACACAAAGCTCTCTGTGGTGAGAGGCCTGCCACCCTACAAACAGGCCCAGCCAGAGAGTTCAGTAACACTGTGTGCATATGTAGCAGTATTTCCTGCATCAGGATTTCAAGATGTCATCTCACACCAAATGGACATCAGGTTTATAGCAGGACTGTCTAAGGACTTTACATGAACTAAGTTTAGTCAGTTTGTCTTTGCGTTCCTTCTCTTCACCTTGTTTTTCTTCAAGAAATGAAACTATAATCTTTACAAAGTGTCCGGACAATCGCCTTGGTGTTTCGATCCCACATTTTCCCAATTTTCCGTTTTGTGTCTCGTTTTTATTGCATGTTTTTTACTTTCGTCCTTACTTTTGAGTCAAGTTTCTTTGTGTTCAGCAGCTTTTTAAATCAAAATTCAATGTTTCTAACCATTTGGGAACTTGGGATAGTGAAGGAGAGGCACCTTTACACAGTCAATGGGGCGTGGTGGTGTTTTCTCTACAACTTTGATGGGACTTAATTGCAGATGCACAGTGCAGTTTTAGCATACAATAAATAATACAATAAAAAATACGGGTAACAACATCTTCATATTTTAAGGCCTCAGCATTCCTAGGAATTTCGTGGAAGCCATATTCTATTTATGTGCCACTCTGTTGGCAGTATTTCATCCGCAGCGGCCCCATCACAGCTAAATGAATGTTGGAAATAAAGCCAACACTACAAACATGTGCATACAAGCATACACGGGCAGGAGGCCTGTGCACAATGGTGCATTTGTGTACGCGAATGTGCACATGTGCTGTGTTGTTAATCTTTGCCAGCTGTGCATGGCAGTCCCCCTGACCTCTGACCACCATGTAGGAGCAAATGCTGGCTGCAGGACAGGGGGCCCCGAAGGTCTCTATCTGGGACCTCTTAGCATGATTACGCTCATTAAGCGAGGCGACCCTAAAAAATGACTGACTGGCATAAGGCTTCATTTTCTCGACTCTGTTGTGTGGATCAGTGCAGGTCTCATTACGGATAGACAAATGTGTGAGTCAGAAGAACTTGTGAAGGCTTGGATCTAATTTTTCAAATTTTTTACTTCCTCGTCCTAAGACATGATCCCTCATGACATAAATGCAACTTAAGTTAATCACCTTGCCCTTACTTTCATTTATAAATTTACCCCAAAAAAAACTAAAAAAAGCAACCACAAGCTTTTATTCATTTTTATGCATCTGACTCATTGTAACAAGAAAAACTCATTCATAAATAAATCACCCCGACAAGATAATAAGAAATGGCGGGGTAACTTCTCAACTTTAAGCGTGTCCTCATGCACACATTCACACACACACAAACACACACACTTGCACAAAAACACACACATTCACGGTCAGTGTAAGTGTAATCCTCTCAACAGGAGTGGGAATTTCACAGCAGCCGTGGGAGCGGGAGACCAAAGATGACGCATGGACTGAGGCAGTGTCCCCATAACGGAAAGCAAACAGACACAAACACACACACACACAGCACTCACACACGTCAGCACACACAATACAGCAGCCCTAATTCCCGATGAAGGGAATTTCCATCATGTGCACTGCAGACAGGAAAGATCACAGAGGTAAAAAAAAAAAATAGAATTACAAAGGCAAAGTGATAAAAAGAACACTTCAAGCACTCCTTTTAAAGTGCTGGTATGTAAGCATATGAGTGTATGCTAATTGCCACATGCTGACTGTGGTCTCATTTATTAGCAGACTCCAGGTTTTCGCCATATGAAGAGCACAAGGTAGCCTGTTCTCCAACAGTTTGCAACATATGGGGACTGTTAACATGCACATGTGCATTTGTGCGCCTCCTTTATAACTTCATTAATCTTTAGTGCCATTAATCCTCATGCCACATTACTATTGATGTGCGTCTCGAAAGGCTTCATTTCCAGGGCCTCTTGCGGTGCAAGACTGACGACAGCTCTGGTGTCAATTCAGGTGACTAGATGGACGCAAGTGTGTGTGCATGTGTGTGTTGTTTTCCTAACCTGTCCTTCTAACTGTAAGCCTGAGTTGGCTTTGCTAAATTTATAGACACAGAGGGAGACAACCTGGCTGTAGGAGGGTGGACGAGGACACAAAGAGAGCCTGAGGGGAAACTCCTGTGTAGAAAACTTGCTGGTAATCAGCCTCTGAGGCCAGGCCTTTACAGGGCACTAAGACTGGCTATATATAAGCACTTTCTGCAGCCTAAGCTCCAAATCTGTTACTGCTCTGCAGGGCATCCATATTCTTTTCTCTCTAATTCAAAGACTCTAAATCCGTACATTCAAGGCTGAATGTATTTATGTATGTAAATGTGTGTGTGTGTGTGTGTGTGTGTGTGTGTGTTTGGCATTTGTGTCACCTGTTAATTGTTTCTGTCCCCATAGGATCTGATCCATAACGACTTATCTTGATCTTGCAAGTGTAAATGAGCATCCAGAAGCCCTCTGATCCTAAATTAAGCAAGTCAATAGATATCCCTACTTTAATGGCCTTTGTGGCTATCTTTAAATCGCTTACTCTAATCTTAGTCGGCAAGAACAACAAGCCGGGGGACACATGACACAGTGAATGAGCTGTGGTACTTCCAAGTTCAGCATCTTGATATGTGATGTAATAATACACAAAAAATATGCAGTATTGGGAATTACCAAGTGTGTCGGTCACTGTAGAAATCCGATACCTTAATTTCTTAACGCCCAAACATTCAATAGTTTTTTTATGCTTAAAACTGCCCCCTTAACAGCAATAACATGTTGTTTTTAATGGTCGCAACTAGTAACTACTGTGTGAGAACGGCAAAGAAAGACAGTAAGCTGCCAGCAAAAAGTGTAAAGTTAACCAAGACTATCAGAATTCAGTCTATTACACTTTTAAATCTGTCTTGTTGTTTATTTATAGACATTTGAAGATAGTTTGAAACACAGGTGTTTTAAAGGTTTGGATTCCTTCAGTTTACTGAGCCAACTGATATGCGCAATAACATCCCATCCATACAGGTTGAGTAGTATACAGCTTCTAAAAGTAGAACATTTTCTTTCCCCCTAGTACTGGGAGGATACACAGTATTGGCAGATGATCAAGTCAAGGTATTCAAAACAGTATCACAAAGGAAAATACTGAAAAAACTGATTGTAAATGATTGCTTCTTTATGAATTCCTGAAGCACACATGAAAACAAAAAGCTTGTCTATCCTCTCATCAAGCATAAAAATGAGCAGGAAGCAATACCATGATAACACACTAGTCATATTTTCATGTGATATTTTTACCTGAACTTAAAACTAGGGTCAAAACAATTACTGTGCCAAATAACTGTCGTAACAAACTTAATAGGCTTTGCTGAGCATGCTGCATTCATTGGCATAATGAACCTTAAAGGTGTGAGCGGCCAAACGGGTCGGTGTTGTTACTATACTTGTCCAGGTCAACCCAGTGGGATGGCATGGGGCCAAGCTCACTCTTGCAGTGAGCATAGCTTCATGATAAAGTTCATTAAATAGTGGAACTTGGGGAGTTCAATGCTACAAAGGAGGGTTTGAACCTAAAGTGTTTTCAGACTGAACAGTTCAGGGGACTCCCTGGGAGAAACTGCCCACTGAGGAGCTCCCACAGCACTTATATGTGCCTTTTTTTTTCCTGTTTGCATTCCTACTCCAGATAGAAACCAAGAAACATACTCTTAAATAGCTATTACCCCTTTTTTTCCCATTTGTCCCTTGTGACGGATAAGTCTGTCCTGGAAGGCAGAAGACAGATGCCTCTGAGCAGCATCCTCACGATTACAACTATGAAAAAGTTAATCCATTCTCAAATCTACTCTACAGGGGGACAAGTAAATCATTCTTACATTTCACCTTCAGCATTTCAATCGAGTTAAGGGGATGCTGCCTCTGAGGAAATGCAGTAAAATTCCATTTATCATGTTGTGTTACCACTTTAAAGCAATTTTGCTGCTTCAGTTACCGCCACTAAATAGAGGCAACATGGTGGCCATGGTATTGGGGTGCCAACTAAAGTTGAGCCTCTCTTTATCCAGTCCCTCCAGGATGTTGAGATTTTCCAGTCACAAATGTTAACACAAATTCAACCTTTCCCTGTGCAACCTGCACAGCCTTGCGACTTGGTCAATCAACACCGTCAACCATCTAATAAAAACAACGGATAGAGAAAAAGATCTGCTCATTCTTCCTCCCTCTCAGCAGCCTGATAGCATTTCACCCAACAACATGTACTGTCTCAGCCTCATTCTCCTCAATAACAGGTGATCCCAAGAGCCAGTAGCCAGCCCTTGGGTCAGTCCATCAAGGCCCCTACTTTTTCCTACTGCCAGACTGGAAATGCATAACAGCCTCACAATGTTTGCACATTATGTTTAATTGTTATCATCGCAAGGCCTGGTTTCAGTCGTGGGCAGGTCTCTTAACCTTCTCAAGTGTTCTAAACAAGATGATTCATAAAGGTCTTTGCATCGGTCAGAGTCAGAGGTTTTAAATAATGTAATATATTTCTCATGTCATTAAGTAATCATTAAATATTCTTCCACCTACCATTCCACAACAAAGTCCAGAGTAGAGTTATTTTAGAGCTTAAACAGTCTTGAGTGTTATTTTGTGCATTGTTATCGCAAGGTCTTCATCACTGAGACTTCCAACTGGAGCAATGTGAGGGCCAAATTAAAGTATCCAGTAAATCTTTGTGTGATTATAGCACCATGAAAGTCCTAAACATTCCAACATACAGATACATAATGAACTACGTGTCCATATCATCATACCTTAGAGCCTGCTAAGCTTATCGTAGTTCATCTGGGGTTTACATTTCCGGGCCCCCCACAGCCGGGCCACTTCATCCGGGTCCTTGATGACAAACTCGCCGTAGTCCCCCTGCCAGGCGATGACATCATGATACTCTTCTTTTCTGAGCAGCTCCAGGATGAAGTGCCACAGCTGGATCTGTCTGGACCCGGGGCTCGACTCAGGCTTGTATGCCCAGTCTGGGAAGGCGAACCCTGTGATAGAGGAATGAAGAGGGAGGAGGGTAAGTGTCTGTCCCTGGAGCATCAATATCAGTGTGAAGGAAGATGGAGAGCACATGCTGTAAATAAACTCAAGAGATTGCATCAAATCTTAAACAGAAGATTGGTATTTATTTATTAATCAAATCAACCTTAAAAACCTTGTGTTTCTCTAAAGAGAAATTCAGACAGTGTCAAAATAAGTGAAGTGTAAAGACTATTAGGAGTCAGCAGTTGTGGAAGGTTCAGGTGAGTGGAGTCTATTCTATGAGGGAAAAGAGGATTATAGGTGTCTAGCCAAGTATAGATCACACACAACAGAGCAGCTTAGTCAAGCACAGAGTGTCCTCATTCATATTTCCCACTGCACATGGCTGTCTTCTCTGCTCCTATTTTTCTCTGCTTTTTTTTAGTCACTCGAGTCAATCTTTAAATAATGTTTCAGGGTTATTCCCAAGCATTTCTCTTTTATTGGAAAGTTTGACACAATGAAAGCAAGAGGGGTCAGGAGAAGGTAAAGAGAGTAAAAGAGAGAGATTAAGGTGAGAGATCTCAGTTGAGCTAGAAGCTATGCAGCGGGCTTAACCTGCTCTAGTATAGGATTTCCTCCCATATAATTTTAATATTCTTGATTTAAAAAAGCATGTTCAAGAACATTTTCACAATAATGTTAAAAACCTTGTAAGATACATTAATGTCTGTCTCTTTGCCCGTCATTCAGACGGAAACTGTGGCAGTACTGTGACGTTTTCTGTGGAAATATGAATCTAAACACAGCAATGTTGAAGCATAGAGTTGGCATTAACGTAATTATTTCAAATTACGTCACAATTAGGAAATAATGAGTTTTTCAGCTTGGTTTTGCAGAACAAGAGACCATGAAGAAGATAAAAATAATTGTTTGGGTGTTCTGTCATGGAGATAAGTGACAATGTAGACATGCAAGTATGGTGGCAAATAAGGGATTTAAAATAAGGAGTGTTCACTGTAGACTAAGGCTTTTGAATAAACCACATCTCTCTGCTATCACTCGGTCACATCCTCACCACAGTAGCTATTCACAGGAAACGCACATGCATACTGAAACTACAATTGTGAAAGTTGTAAAGTTAGTGGGCTTCATGGAACTGTTGGGCCCATGCATGAAAAACCTTTCCACCTCTCCTCCACCTCTTTCCTCTAATGCAGTCACTCTTTCCTACGACCAGAGGAAAACAACATGGCCAGTCATCTCGCTTGTCTATCCCTCCATCGGCTCGCCACCCGCAGAGTAGGTGACACAGAACGAGACCGTGGGCGTGGGTATAGATAGGACTGTTTGTATGAGCATGTGTGTGCCCACATGTACAAGTTTGAAAAGAGTTTATGTGCCAGTGTGCATGTTTGAAAATGTTTGTGCAAGTCTCCCACTAACATTCTGTTGCCTGGGCGGTCAAGAAAATCTGACACGGTCGTGCAAAATAAGACTATCACAGTGTAATATTCATCCAGAATTAGCCTGGACATGATTTTATTTTATCAACAATCCTCCTCACAGCGCTGATAAACACACAAGTGAGGAGGCAGACTTTGAAAAAGAAAAAGCATCCAACCTGCTGAAGTGAGCTTGTTTAAGTTGTTATATTATGTTTGGTGCAGGGTTAGTACCTGCTATCACGTCACACTGAATAACCAGAAAAGTGGAGTTACCTGTCTAATGTAATACAACAGGACTTGGATGAATGCTACACTTTGTTGTGCCTGCTTTTTTTGAAATGAATAAATGTTGACTGGATTCTTTATTGAATGTATTTCTCCCTATTTTGGCAACCTGATTGACCTTGATATAAAAAGTATTTTCAATCCATATCCATTCATGTGATCAGTACCCTGATACAGTTTAAGAGAAGTAAAATCTTTTAAAGAGATTAATTCCTTTTTTTCTCCAATCTTGACGTAATAAAAACCTGTAATTCTTTCTTTATCAACCTTATTTCGACCTGTGTGCTGCTGAGTTACCCCTCGGAGGATAAATAAAGGCTTATCTTAGCTTATATAAGACTAGCATGAAGCCAGTGTTTGCAATGTGTTTAACTGCAGTGCATGCAAATGGCAACAGAGGAAATGAGGCAGGCTGGGCTGGAGATTGGGAAACAAACAACCAAAATCATCAGATTATGGATGTGCAGGCCTGTCTATGGATTTGCTGGCTGAGAGCCTGGTGCGTAGATAGATAGCCCCGATAATCTCTGCTGCACTAGTGCGTTCTGACCATTTAGTCACTGTTGCATAACATTAAATAATGTTGGTAGCACATCTGCCACACATCTATGAATCTGTAAGTGTTGTTATTAAGCTATTTTATCAAGATGACGAAAATTCCTTCACTGTGTTTTGCTTGAATTATATGTAAACGAAGGAACAGAAACAAGCACACATTGAGTATTTCAGCTTGTTAAAAATAGGCTGAAAGGAAAGTTATCTTCCTATGTCTTCTTACTCATCAAGCGTAGGCAACTAGCTGTTCCTATCCACCATTTCTTGGTTGTTTTCCTCCAATCACAGTTGTGTATATGCGAGGCATGGTCAATGAATCACTCAGCTGCCCCACCTACTCACGAGTCATTTTGCAATCTAAAATAAAGATTTTGAATACCAGTCAAAAGAAAAGGAAAACCATGCCTACACAATTTCCATCTCCAAATTCCAGACAGGATTTTATAAGCGTCAAAGTTATGCAGATAGTAGGTGGCTAATGAGGGAATCAACAAACAGGCTGTGCAGACAGCTTACCCTCTTTATTCAAACTATGGATTATTGTTCTCTATAACAAACATCACAATGTGTGAAAGGACCATGGGTGTAAAAACAGCATAAACTGTACCGTCTGTGTCTGAAGTTGCTCAGACTTTCCAGACTTGTTCAATGTAGGTAGCAGCTAGCGGACAAATACAAAAAACACACATTTTCTCTTTCCACCCTCCTCAGTTTTCCCTTCTTAAACAGTCTGAGGGCAGTACAATCACAGAGGAGCACATGGAGGCCAGGCCGGCCAGGCTGAACATGCATGTCCAACAATAACAATTACACACACACACACACACACACACACACACATATATATTCCTAGTGCAAAGTACACTACATTTCCAGATATAGGAAAGAGACAGAGACTATGTCAAGATAAAGTATTTGTGGGGAGCTGAGTTGGGAGGGATGAGAAAATGAAACTGACCAAATCTTAACTACTGACCTTGTGCTGCTGCTGTAGAGTCGGCAGCTGCAACACTAAAGCTGTTCAGGGGGCAACATTTCAAGGCTGTGTGTCTGGGAGTTTTTAGCTTGTGTGTAACTGTCTGCATGTAAAGCAGAAGTTGCTGAAAATGAGCAAGCCAAGCTCATCAAAAATTAAAAAGAAGGAATCACAGCATTAAAGCTTCTCTTTTACAGCTTGTGGATGTTGAATGTGGCTAAGTGGGGATGTGTTTGTCTGTCCAAATGCATCTAATGATCTTTTTGACTTTGGCGTAGACCACAGAGGTCACTTCACACACATAGACAGACACACGCATTGTATGTCATTCAGGTCCCCAGGTGAAATGGATCCCATGTAAATACTAGGAGGGCGAGCAGCAGGCAGGCTGTGTGTGAGACAATCTCAACCTCAAACGCAAATATTTCAAGGCAACCATGCGGACATATGTATGACTGCAAGTGCAAAGGTGTGTGTGTGTGTGCTTTACAAATACATGGCAGAGTGTCTGGTACTTTGTATAATTAGTTTACCTGTCAAAACCTTTACATCAAAGAGCCCACGTGACAAGTGTAAGAGTGTGTGTGTGTGTGTGTTAGATGGTAAGGATTAAGTTTAGAGGAATGCGGAGAGCAAGAACAGGTGTCTTTGTCCTTCTCTCCACCCAGAGCCCAACCCAGGCTGAGATGCCCTGACTTCACACACTACACACACACACACACACACACACACACACACACACACACACACACACACACACACACACACACACACACACACACACACACACACACACACACACACACACACACACACACACACACACACAGCCTTGTACAACAAATAGGAGAATTTCAGTAGGAAATTTTTGGAATCTGTGTGTGAGTGTTTGAGGTGGTATGATCTTTGTGAAGATTTGTTTCAGGATGAAGGAGAGTGTGATGGCTTGAGAAGAGCACGACCTAACCCCCCCTCCACCACACTTAACCTCTCTGACCTCTACTCTCCCTCTCTTTGGCTCTATTCCCACCCTCACCCCCTTTCCCTCCCTTACTACCTCCCAGGGGAGACACCAGATAGCCATTACAGCATGCATTCACAAGCCCCACTCACTCTCACCCACACATAGACAGACTCGGCATCAATAATGTAGAGACTGGTGTGGAGGGTTGACGGCAGGGGTGCGCCTAATCTCTGCCCTGGGACACTAGAGAGAGCAAGTGCGTCAGGAGGTGAGTGAGTGAGAGTGTGTCTGTGTGTGTGTATGTGTGTGTTGGGAGTTGAGGGGCAGGTGGTAGAAAGTAATGCAAAAAGGACTTAGAGAAGGAGGATGATGGGAGGGAGGGAGAGAGGGGGGTTGGAATGAAAGAGAAGAAGGCATGACAAGATGGGAGAGAGAGCAAGAGAGAACAGAGAAAAGAAAGTAGGAGAGAAAAAGACGGGGGAGGGAGAGCGGGCAAACAAAAGTGGGAAGGGAGAGAAAGAGAGACAATGGTGAGAGTAGGAGAGGAGAGAGGGGTTGAATGGCAAGGCAAGGAAGGAGGAGGGGGGAGGTTAAGGGAGGGATGAGATCATAGCTCGTCTGGTAGTCTGTTGTCATCCAGATCAGATTGCTTATCCCCCCCTTTCCTCCTCCTCCTCCTTCTTCCCTCCATCCCCTCTCCTTCTCCTCCTTCTCCTCCTCCTCTCCAGGAGTGCGGATGCCTCTTTTCCTCTGTGTGATCTTAGTGGCAGGCCCCTAGAAGACTTCTAACACTGCTGC